ACTCTCGCATCATTCAAAACCACAAATTAGATTTTAAAAGAAAAAAAAAAACAAAACACAACACACTGTATGTCAAAGGAAGTGTGCAACAGCTTGACAGTGAATACATCTCTGGCCTGCAGAGATTTACGCCAGAGGCAATCTTTTTCTGTGCTACTGTGATTAAGACAGAAGATGAGTTTTATCTCGTGAAAAAAGGCAATGAAGACTCACAGGGGACAGTCAGGCACCGCTCTGACAGTAGTTCAACGTAACTTCAAACCAGCTTCTATGGTCCTCACGGCACCACAGCACAGATTTCGGTCAGGATGAAGCTGCTCTAGAGCCCAGCTTGCTGGGCAGCTTTTGCAGACTGAGCCTGCCACAGCAACACTACTATTAATACTTTGTATTAATACAAAGAACGTGTGCTTGAGCTGCAGCCACACATTTTGATCCAGTTCAGACATGCCTTTAGAGAAACTAAGAGAAAGGTTAAAGATCTGGACACTATCTAAATCTTCACGTTCAGGCAGGTCAAAACGCCATGATTCCAGTGACAAAAGGATGACACTGTTACGGACTGTAAGCAAGAAGGAAGATGAACAGACAGAACTGGGAAAGAAATCTCAGATCTACACCTTCTTCACGAACAGGCAATTAAACACTGACTAAGCACCAGGGAGACAGACAAGGTTGTAGTTATGTAGCAGATCATACCACATCATGAAAAGGCTCTGGAAGGTAGAAACAACCAGCCTGAAATATTTGTTAGTAGAAAAAAAGCTTGGTGGAATCCTAACAAATAACAGACACATCGTTAGTAGCTTTTTGTGTCTGTCTACTTTGACATGTTTTAATCTAGGTATTACAAATCAGACTTACATAAAATTGAAGAGGAAAAAAAGATATTAACATAAAAGGCTAAATATGAATAAATAGTTTTCTTGTAAAGTTGAAGATAACCATGCAAGTGCTCCTATTAACCAGAATGCAACACCAAAAAAAACAGGAATAAGCTATAGTACATATATAAGTCACAAATGTACAACACAGGTCATCAGATGCCTTCAAGTACACTAATGCTGAATGACATAATGCAGAGTGAATTATATACTTACATGATAGAAAGTCATTAATGGTCAGGAATGCTTGCCTAGTTCCAACCAAAGAGTACAGACATGAGAAAACGAGTCATTATTGACCACTGTACGCTGAATTCTGCAATTTATATTAATGCTACAACAGTACATTTGTGGGCCAGATTAGTCATGATGATTGCTTAGGTGATTAATGAAGATGAATCCGGCTACTGCCTTTTCATTAGTTTCTTACAGGTACAACATTGTACCCATTACATCTATAATCATCTAAACAGCACAAACTAAGTCAATTAGATCTTACTGTTGCAGTAACTCCTAAGCACTGCAAGATGCATTAACGTGTTGGTTGTTTTTTGGGTTTTTTTTTTTAATAGCAAAGTATAAACTGGATCAAGTATTTCAAATTGAACCATTTAAATTGGCTTATTTTTCAATAGTCTTGAGTAGCACTAACATTTTCCTGCCTTAACGTATCATCTCTTTGGCAGTTCCTCGCTGTAACATGAATTTTATTTTGCAAGAAATAAAATGACTAATTAAAAAATTTTGCTTGCCCAGAAAAACGTTCTCTCAACTTGGTTAACTGCGGACCACAAATTGGCAAATGCTAATAATACTCCAAAAGAAGATTTAAAACCAACAAAAAAAAAAAATTTTTTTGAAGGTAAGTTGGTTCAATGTACCTTGTGAACCAAGAAGAATGGACTTCTAATTTCTAATATATGAGGTCTAATCTCTACCGCCATGCATACTGATGTCATTTATGCCTTCACATCAACACATACCATCAGATCTAGCAGCACTTTACAATTATTTTGCACACCTACAAAAAGACTGCAAAGACAAAGCAAAGTTGACTCAGTATAGAGGAATGTCCTTTACGGAGTTACAAAACTAAAATATCATTATTTCCCCCCTCATTCCAAACCCACAATTGTTTATTTAACTACTGGAGGATAACATAATTGGCAATACAAGTCTAACCAAGGTATTTTATATACAGGATGGAGAAAGGTACTTGCACACAGATAGCTTGCATGCAGTCAGAGGCCAAACCAAAGAGAAGTAACTGGTGTGAGGATGTTGGCTGTACGGTTTCAGGGTTAAGGAGGCTCATGAGAGGAAAAAAACCAAGCTACGAAGGATGAGAAGCAGGAGAAGGTTAACTGTGGGAAAGGGTAAACTTCTGCGCATATCGTGTATAATTATCACTCCTGCTGAATCACAAGGAAGGAAAGGGGGGGTGGAAGGGGGGGTGGATTTAACATACATTGCTTATAAGAGTTTGTTGATCTACTGCTGCTGTGCAAGTGACTACAAAATATGCATAACATAATACATGGTAACGTAGATGACTGCGGTATCAAGTTAAATAATTTCAAATTAACAAGTACAATAATTATCTTAAGCCTCGAAATTTCATATGAAAAATAAATGATTTTTAAAACCAGGCTCCTACCTCCTTTCATCACAAATAGACTATATTTAGACTATTTCAGTACACTTTATTTTAAGCATTATGTGGTATTTAAAAGACACTGAGCAACAGAAAAGTGAATTTTCAATTCTTCCACTCTTCTTTCAATTCTTATCTTGTAAAGATTACAAAATACACAAAAATAAAACAATACGGAAATCACGTCTACGTTTTCCACATCTGCTCATTGCTCAAAACTTGCTTCTGTTCCATAACAGACTATCAATTTGTGTTGCTACCTTCTAATCTGTATTGCATTCTACCCGTGCACCTGATTCTATATAAAACAAAGGATTGCAAAGGGTTAATTCAGAGATATTACGGGCAGGCAAATATGCCATTTACTCTACCAATCCTCTTGTGTCCAAGTTTCATCTATAGTCCAACATCGTATACAGGCAAATAATCAGACACAAAAAACATTAACCAACTGTCCGGGCACAAACAGGAAAAAAAATTTCAATTTTCTAACAGGATGTGGTACTTATTTTTTCCCCTTTCCCAGGCAGGTCATTAGAAAGCTCTTTATAAAGGCTCTTTTACTTAGAGCTTTAAATGAAGATACTTAATTCACTGGGAGAAGAGATGGCACTTCAGGTACTCATGAAAGAAGCAACAAAATAAGTGTAGGAGTATGCCAAGGGAGTTGTTAAGAGAATGGTTCAAGAGCAGTAAAGGGGGTGGAAGTGTAGGAAGAGACAAGAACAGACGTAGGCTGAAACCTTAAGGGTTTGCATTAAGAAATGCAGGCTCGATATACAAGAAGTAAAAAGTCATGGGGGGATATGATATCTATCAGAGGAGCTACAGAGGAAGGCAGGAGTGGCAGCAACTTGGATGGCCTTCACAAATCAATCAAGTAACCAGAAGAGGGAAAAAAAAGCTATTTTGCCTGTAGCAGCACTAAGGCAGAAAGATACTCAAGCGTGACTAGAGAGATTAGAACCAAGAAGAATAAAACCATCAGGTAAGTAGAGGTATCAAAATACGCAGTGAGAACTGCTCTCCAGTCACAAGCAAAAGCACAAACCACCCACTGAAAACTGCTTCGGAAAAACATTTTAAGAGCAATTTTCTCTAGCAATTGAAAAGAAGGAAGAGAATGTACCTGTTGGGACTCTTGAATAAAAACGTCATAGGGAACAGTTTAATTAATTTCTTCTCTGTTTAAATAAACCCAAGCAACTGTTTTCTGACACATTTACGTTACGGGCACAACCCAAACACGGCAGCGGTCGACCCTTGAGCGTGTAAACTGGAAACCAGAAAGGAGGTGCGTGTTCCAGCAGCACATTGAGCTGTGTGTAACCTCATCTTACGCAGAAGCAGCGATGTGTTTAGGCTATGCTGCACCAAGTTAGAGACATGCTCTTTTACTGCCTCCATGAGGAGAGCCACGCACACTGTCACAGACCGTAAAATATTTTCTGGCCGACCACTTGCGGCCTGAACTTTAATATCCCCTAGGGATGCTGCCAGTGAATGGATTTCACAAAAGAGCAAAATAAATAGTATCAGTTTTAACAGCAACTGACTTGCAAAGTGTTATTTAGTTTACCAGGAAAAAGAAAACAACATATACCATTACTGTTAGCGATATATTGTATTTCACTCTTATTAGATGGAAAACCTTCAGGAAGAATTTTTATATGTAATACACACACCAATAAAACACATCTGGTGTGGGGAAGAGAGCAACCACCAACCAAAACACAGTATATAGTATAACAAACATGAGAAACCTTTTTCTTAGCAAAAAAATGGCATCAAGCCTTTCATATTCTTCAGGCAACTTCTCTCTCTCTCTCTAGCAAACAGTCCGCCCACAAAAGGTCAGAATCTAGTCACACTATTCAGGAGAAAAACCATCAGTCAACCTACCGGGAAAGACATACACTACAATATGTTACAAAAATTCTTATCTAGGCCACTCCCTTCTATCACAGAATCCTTGAGACTGGAAGGGATCTCTTGAGACCATCTAGTCCAACCTTCTGCTCAAACAGAGCCACAGAGCAGGTCACCATATCCACCGAGTAATCAAAAAGAATAAAATATGTCCATAGAAGAATTTCTTACCACATTTTAACTAACTTGAAGCATTATCAAATGGGGCACTACTCGCTTTATTTTTTTTTAAAAAAAGTATAAACAAAAGCAAAAAAATGGACTAAGTGCTACTTTTACCATGTGCTGGCCTGCAGGGAAGGCGTCCCTGCAGTGCCTGCAGATACAAATGCCTCAGATTCTAACACATCTTGAGATGGACCGTCTACGGTTACAACCCAAGCAGGCCTGTGGACAGCTTTTCTGTACTGAGCATGCACACTGGTATCACTTGTTGAAAAAGAAATGGGCTACAGGTGTGTTTGTAAGAGAGGTCACACAGAAGGCAATACTTCATAAGGTTTGAAGTATGGTTTATAGAAAATAAGACTCACTTGCCACCCCAGATGCGATCCCGTAAAGCAGTCCTCCTCCATCTGTTTGCTGCTGAAAGACATGGGTCCCTGGAGGAGGCCTTCTTTCTTGTCTAATGAAATTATATAGTAAAGTTTTCACAAGTCTGCTGGTATATGGGAGACTGAAAAGAAAAAGAGAACAGCTTTAGTTGACTCACAACTTGCAAAATTTGGCACAACAAAGCCCAGGCAGGGTGCAAAGGCTGGCGTTTGGCATTAAACACAGACAGTAACTCTCCCAGTCTTGAGCAGACTGGAAAGGGAAAGAACGCCAAGGTCTTGCCCATGCAAAGCTGCACTGACTTCAGCAGGGCTCTGCAGGAGCACCTTCAACAGCAGGATCATCAAAACTGTTTTGTTTTCTTTTTTCAGTACTACTTCTAAATCAATCATTTAATTTGTGGTATCGTTGCATTCTTTTACCTCAAGACACAACTGAAAAAATATTTATGCAAGGGAAAGAAACATTATATTTGTTTCATTTTCGCTCCATGCTTTGGTTACATAGAACCGGTAACAATAGTATTTCTCCACCCCCCCAATATTTTTGTCTGTGTGCACAGCTGGGGCCAATTTGCAAAGACCAATGAACCATCTGACCTCACATCAGTGACTGACAGGTGCACATAAAATGTGCTGGATTTAAATAAAAGGTTACAGTATTTCCAAAACAGAGAAGGATTTCCACAGAAGCAAACAGTTGGTTCCCATTCCCACGTGATATAGAGGTGGGCAGACCGGGGCTGTGTTACGATGAACTCCAGCCCCCTCTAACCACTACCCCTCCAACTCTTCACATTGCCCTAGATTCCCAGCCACCAAATTCCCACCCCTCTCTCCAGAGGCCAGGTACCTGCTACTCCCAACTCAGGTCTCCTAGACCACGTACTGCCTTTTCTCCCAAACATTCCCCGTTTTGCCCCAAACCCTCACCTCCTTCGGCCCAGAGACTGAAGTACCACCAAACCCCACAAATACGGAGGCTCTGCCTCTACCCCGCTGCAGTTTCAGGCTGAAGTCTGCCCTGTGCTCCCTCTGCCCACATCCAAGACGAGCCTCCCTCCTTTCCCTGCGTGCCGCCCCGGAGCAGTAGCTCTCTCTTACATCTACTAGAAATTTCAGAACACCAGACAATAGATACACTTCCCAAAAATCTGCCCGCGTGGAATTTAAAGTTGAAAGAGGATGAATGGTAGCCTGACCAAAATGCGTAAAAGCCACCGTGACAAAGCATTTAAACAAAACAACCGACTCGCCAGAACAAGTGGTGTTACTCATACGACCGAGTTTACCACCTGCTAAGTATTTCCACTGTTGCAGCTTAAAACTCAACGCAGCACATATGTGCAGTCTTTCGAGGGGCTGCTCTTTATTTGTCTCACAAGAAGGCTCATTAGCATTTCTGAGGTACATGGGTTCCCTAGACTGCAATGTTACAGGAAGAGACCCATACCTGAATCAAAAACCATCTTGAAAAGTAAAAGCTGTTTTAAGTTAGTGAAATTACCCTCAAAAAATGAAAATGGCTTCCAAAATAGTTTTACTGAAGTCAGGGCTGCGAGATTTAAACCTGAAACCTTCCAACAGTCTTTACAGCTGTTTGCTTTTGTGTTCTGTTTTCTTTTGAGCAGAACAAGTTTTCTTTCAAAACAAATTTCACTGTCTTTTGTTTTCGAGTACAAACAGTCTAAACAAGTGGTCAGAAGCGTTTGCTTTGCCGTTAGGTACCACCCCAGAACACGACATACCATCGCCCATGCATCAGGTATTTGTGAATGATGCTCTCTCGTAGAATTTCTTTATGGAATAATTGGCAGGAGAGGAAGACGATGAGAGTCGTCACAGCTTCCAAGGAAATGCTGTATGTAATATCTCTGCAGGAAAAAAAAAGGAACATTTGTAAAGACTAATCTACTGGGTTTGTTTACAAACTGACTTCCAAGAAGACTTGGTAGCTTCACATGAGGTTATACGCTGTTTAGCACAGCGACTTTCAATTGGGAACACGTAAACAACAAATTCAAAAAACCCAGAATCGCTTCATACCAACAACGGGTTGTTTTTCTTAGACTCACACATTTTTTTTTTTTCTATATGCCAAAGACTAGACAATATAAAAACATTGAAGTATTGCCCAGAACATTCCAGGTGCAATTTTCAGACTACACTTCACTCTAAAAATAATCTATCTCAAAGGCGTGTCCTTTGTCCTGTTAAATAAAATTGTCACAAAACTACCATTCTAAGCCAGGGAAATGCCCAGCTAGCCAAACACAGTTCCATCTGCCAGGAAAAGTGGATCCCTAAGAAAGGAATGTAATACACAAAGGCTAGTTTAAGTGTAAGAAATGCTTAGGATATCAAGATACTACATACAGTTATTCAGCGTTAAATGGTATTTTTGAGGTAACAGTGAAGCCTAAAGTTTCAAGACATTACAGCCAATCCCAAAGAATGTGCTGTAATGATTAAATACTGGCACCAGACAGTTTAGCAAAGCTCATTAAGTTAAGGTTAATTAGGAAAGACTGTGCAGCAAAATGCATGAGAGAGATCTCCACTGTTTGGGATATCTTGTGCTTTCTGTTCCCACCTCTGCCTATAATGAGCTTGTTACATATCTTATTTTTAAAAGAGGGAGAAAAATGGCATTTGCCTCCTTAATCAGTAATAAATTGCAGACTACAAGAAACCTTTTAACACACAATGAAATAACTTGGACGTGAACCAGTATCATTCTTGCTTTCAACCCAAGACCATTTTTACCTCCTCCAAAAGCAAGGAGATACTTCTTTCGGTGCAACAGTACCATCCTGTAATCCATTAGAAAGATTGTTATTAAGTACTTTTAATGTTTTCCCCACTGTTACTATTTAATTTCCACAGTATGCTTCACAATCCAATATTGTTAAGCTATAACAGGTGTCCAGCATCAATTATCAAGGTTTTTTGACCTGGGACCTACTGGAAATTCAAAATCTATTTATCCTTGTCAAATTCAAAGGTTTTATAGTATCTCTATTTAAAATAAAATTTTAAAAAAAATCAGCATCAATGTGTGCTTAAGCAGTGATGCTAAGTTCTTCTTTGTTACAAAGTCACCTTCCAAAAAAATCTTATTCTTAACAGTTAAAACAAGTATAAACATACAACTAAGTGCTCTTTCAAATAATGACGACTTGAAAACTACAGTGCAATCTCTTGAAACAAAATAAGCTAACCACAGAAAAGACTGGCTGGAGTAAAACTCTTCATTAGCCTCAGGATCAGAACTGGTGTGGTCCTCACCAAAATGAAGAGGATTTCATTTAGAAGAAGTCAGTCTGATTTTTAGCACGCTCAATTCCTTCAATATTCTCAAGTGTGCTGCTAGAAATGCTGCAAATAACATGCATTGCTGTAAAACACGAGGAAGAAGAGTTTCGCGCATCACTGTGTATAGACAGCTGAAGTTCGGCTCTTCTGCAGTAGCTCTAGGCCAGAGTTTGAGCAATGCGCGTGCCAGTTATTTGCTCAAAGTCAAGAGCAAACTGGAATCACAATTTCCTGGATTGCAGTCCACACAACCGCACTACCTCCGATACAAAAATGTTTTTGAAAGTGAAGGTTATGCAAGCTCACTGTTTTTTTTTCTTCTCTCACATCATTTAAGTATTTGAATCCGTAACATTTTAAGTTATACATCAGGAAGAGATGTACTGCTTAAATAACATTCTTCCTTAAAATCATCAAGTACAGTTTAATTACTTTTAGTTTTCGTGAGTTACCTGACTTTTTGCCCACTACTGAGGAAGTTAGCCAGTGTAAATGCTGATCAGGCCAGAGGTTACACTGCGATCTGGCTCCACTGCAAATTCATCTCAGCCAGAAGCAAGGCTGAGCTAGGAACGGCTCCCACTCCCTCTCCAAAACCGTGATGCTTTGCAATCAACTACCCACGTCCACCCCAAGCAAAGCAGGGAAGACCCGTATGTACTGATTATTAGAAGTTTAGCCACCAGCAAAAAAAAAAGAAATTAAGAAATGTTTTTCTATCAAAATAAAAACAAGCTTGGAAAAAATAATTTTTAGCTACAGAAAAAAAAAATAATCAGAAGCTTATCATTACCAAGGCTGAGAAGACAAGAATAATGTCTCCAACCCTGAGTTGATGAATGAAAAGGCTGGCTTCGTGACATGCTACAGCATCCAGAACAGCTGGGTCACTTTGCTGAGAGGAAACAACTTTCAGAGTCTTTTTCTCCATCTGAATCATTCATTTACTTATTTTTCTGACAAACCATACAAGTGGAATAGCAAATCGGAGGAGACGTTACAAAATTCTTTTCTATTTTTATAAGATTCAGTGTAAAGAAATAAACAAAGAGGTTACTGTAATGTATTAAGTAATTTTTTTTTTTTGGGGGGGGGCGGGGAATCTGCTTTCAATACCCTTATATAACTCTGAACGAGAAAAAATAGAAAGCAAGCTAAATTCATGCAGCTCCAGTTAGCGAGTTATTCTCATTTTCTTTCTATTCGAAACCCAGTTAGGGCACATTTAACTGCAGAAACATTCCACTCAACCTGTAGAATCTGTTCAAATTAAATCTGCTCTGACATAAACACAACCAGAGTCCTGATATCTGAGGTAACCCCTCAGCTACAGTCACCCTTAATTTATCAGCACAAGGATAAAGCTTCAGAGCAAAATTATTTTCTCCACCAAGGGTCAAATGTACAGTTTTCTGAAACTCAAGCATTTCTAAAGGGTCACAAGAACTACCAGGAACCTCTTTTAACTTCAAAGAAAATACTGTTTATTTATACTGAGAGACTATAGAATAGGGGGTTTTGTTTTTGATATTTTTTTTTTTTTTATTCAAAGCTATCGGTCATATAGAATGACTTTACATGGAATTTATGCTGATCTCCAACTTCCTCTGAAAACTGTTTGCTTGCAGATAAGGAGGAAACTAGAAATAATGAACTCATGTATCAATTACATGTCAAAATTATTTAGCTATTTATTTCAGAAAACCAGAACTGCATGATGTTTTGAGTTTCTGTGGCTTTTTTTCCCCCCCCTTTCCAAGTGTCCTATAAAACAGACGAAAAAAAATCCGCTGAACTCAGATAAAGCTCAAGTAAATGGGCTTCATAGAGCAATGTACCAAAGCATACACAGGTCTTTTTTTCTTTTCTCCCTCTGGATTTTCTCATTTGGGGATTTCAATAGTTATTCTCACTTAATTTTTCCCTCTTTTTTCCTCTCTCCTTCCCACTGGAGGATATGTTCCTGTATCAGGTAGACAAGCTAACAGGTATTATTCTTTTGTCCCTCTTAAGACGTACTTCTTTCACGGGGGAACAATCTGGCATTGACTGAACTCTAGAAATCATGGCAATCATTTCTCTCCCGCATTCAGGTTCTTTCCTTATTACTGGTAGCTGCCCTCCTCGGTATCACATTTCTTACGCCGTGACACAAAGCAAGCGCCTGTTTCTTTAACCAGATGGAACAGGTCCAGGGCCTTGCATGTGACACCCAAGTTAAAACTGACTTCTGGCAACCAACCTTATATATGCACATTTAGTCTCTAAAGCAAAGACATATCCTATGTATCCGTGATTATCTTAAATTATGAATTCTTCAGAGAATGATGACTTGAGCTCCAAAATGCAAGATTCCTAGATGCTAGCATAACAAATATGTGCATGCATTTAACATGCGTTTTAGTATCTACATTTCAATGAGAAACAGTTGATACGTCAATGGATTCCTTCCAAAAGCAATGATACCAGATCATTTCAACGAATGCTTTTAAATTAAACAACCGTGTACAATTTGCATTATAGCAATCTTTAGACAACAACTCATTAAAATCAAATGACAAAAATTCTAAGAAGTCAGCAACGCTTTCCATCTTAATCCCTTTTGTAAGGTAGATAGCAGAGATCTATCTCCTCTTTGAGAGACTATGGCCCCGGGGTCTTGCATGTGACACCCAAGTTAAAACTGACTTCTGGCAACCAACCTTATATATGCACATTTAGTCTCTAAAGCAAAGACATATCCTATGTATCCGTGATTATCTTAAATTATGAATTCTTCAGAGAATGATGACTTGAGCTCCAAAATGCAAGATTCCTAGATGCTAGCATAACAAATATGTGCATGCATTTAACATGCGTTTTAGTATCTACATTTCAATGAGAAACAGTTGATACGTCAATGGATTCCTTCCAAAAGCAATGATACCAGATCATTTCAACGAATGCTTTTAAATTAAACAACCGTGTACAATTTGCATTATAGCAATCTTTAGACAACAACTCATTAAAATCAAATGACAAAAATTCTAAGAAGTCAGCAACACTTTCCATCTTAATCCCTTTTGTAAGGTAGATAGCAGAGATCTACTATCTCCTCTTTGAGAGACCTATGGCCCCGGGAGTACTGCTTTAAAGCAGCACTGCATTTAGACTTTAAAGAAGTACTGCTTTAGAAGAAATTGCTAGAGAAACAAATTCTTCCAGGATACAAACTGGAAAGGATATCACTTCTCTTCGGGTCTTCCATCAAGAACATACATTTTTATTGATTTATTTTATTTATTAATTGCGGTGGCAGACTTGTAAACTCCATCGGAGCTATCAACCTGCAGGCGTTCGAGGCTGGAGAACCACACCAGACCATCTATCTGCGTATCACACCCTCGCAAGGTTTTGTCTGCTTGAACTGGACCAAGATTTCACCTTACCCTTTTAACAGACTCACCCTTTTAACAGACACTCATTTCAAATATATGACAATGCTGATACTGCACTTAAAGTTCCAAATGTCTGAAAGAGGCGCCTATGGTCAAAACAGTCCTCTCTAACAAAAATAAAA